GCCAACTCTGACCACCCGATCTAGAGTAGCAACCTGCTCATCTTACCTCCTCACTCTGTTTTTTGGTTTTTGTTTTTATTTTCTTCCAGAATACTTCCTATATACTTTCTATGTTCTTGTTTAGTTTTTGTTGACTTCATTAATTATTCAATTAATTAATTATTGATTTTCCACCATTAGATTAGCACTCCCGGAGAACAGGAAATGAGTCTGTGCCTATCTTCTTGACTCCCCACTGGACCCCAGGTGTGAGAACAACTCCTGGCAAATACGTAGCAACTCAGGAAAAATATAATATGGAAATGGATCCATCGGAGCCAAGAGAGGGAGAAACTGGGTCCCAACCACACTGCCCGCAGCCTCGTGTCCGGCCGTGCCTGACACCAGCCTGCCTTACACTTGAGTTACATGTCAACAACTATTCCTCTTGGTTAAGGAGGTTGCTTGGGTTTTCTGTCACTTGCAGCCAGAATAACCCAGATATATAGATAATCTAAATGAATTTATCATTTTTATATTTGTGGAAAATAGATTAGCATAAGGAAAACTAAAGATCACATTCCTGAACTATAAGTACCCCTAATGTACCAGCCTATACCTGCCTTTTATTCCTTCATCCTGCCTAAGGCAGGCCTTGGATAGTCTTTCTCAGGGCTGCCTGGAAGAGCGCCCGGATTTCAAGGCAAGTGCTCAGTGACCCAGCTTTTTGTTCCCAAGACTCTTGAGTACTTACTTGTCAGGATCATAATTGTATAATTTACATAACAATAATAAGCGAAAATAATGGAAAATGATCACTCGACAAGCTGCTGAGACTATGTGGATGCCTTTTAAGTGGAGCTGTTGTGATTTGTGGGTCCCATCCCGTATTTTCCTAACTCGTGGTGTGCTTTGCCAGTCCATTTAACTTGTGCCAAATCTGCAGCTGCACAGTTTCCAAACACACAATGAGCACTGGGCTCTGGGAGCCCAGAATTGCGAGTTCCACTGTGGTCTCTGCCTACAGGTCCTGTGCTGTGGGCAAGTCAATCAGCCGATCCAGGTTTTAGCTCTCTCGTCTTTAGAACAAAAGGTTCAAACTCGTTGATTTCGAAGGTCTGACCGGTTCTGACATTCTATGTTTCTTTTGGGGTTCACTGGTCACCATCACTTAGATTTTTTTTTTTTTTTTCTGTTTATAAAAGTAAATGTAGCCATTCTGGAGATTTTGAAATACAAGAAGTATAAAGGGGTGTCACCCATCACCTCACCACTGCAGCAGCCTTGACATTACCCTTTATTCTCAGTCTTCTGTGCAATTTTAACCGCTAGAATTAGCAACGTGAGCTTCGGAATCAAACAGATTGGGTAGGAGCATCAGGTTCGCCAGGGTTTGGTAAGGTGTGCCATGGCAGCTACTTATTTCTGAACTTCCATTTGTTCTTCAACAAATGGGCATAGTAACAGTACATACCCCACTGCACCCTCACCCCCACCCCCAAAATTGTGAAGCGCGGAGGAAATAATGCATCAAAAATATGGTCTGCACAGAGCAAGTGCTCGTGATCATGTGTTCTCTGTGGAAAGCAATGTGGCCCAGCCTCCCAGAGACGCCACTGATCACCTCTCAGATGGGGAAGAGCAGCACTGAGTGGGGCAGAATTCAGGACTGACCCGGAGGTCCTGTCTTATGCCCTTGCTTTGAGGGCAAGAGTCTGGCAGTGTCAGTAGCAGGCCCTAGGCCTCAGGGGTATCAGTGGTGGTGGTGATGGCCCTGGAGCCATTTCCTAGCTGACAAAGTTGTCATGGATGTCGAGACCTGATGGGAGTCAGCAGGAGTGACTGCAGCACTGAGCTTGCTAGAGAGCATGTCTATAAGGGTAAGAAGCAGCCATTCTGCTCCAGCGGGGTCCCCTGGCTATGGGCTTTGCTTGAGACAGAAGAAGGCACACATCACCTATGTTCCTCTGCCTGATGAGCTGTGGCCTGGCTCCTCCAAACCCTCAGATGACTTGATCATTGAACTGGAAACAGTCCCTCTCATTAAGATCTGAGAGAAAGTCAATGACAGCACACAGGCGAAGAAGCAGAACCTAAGGAGAACCTGCTTGGCCAGTTTCTAAGAAATACCCAATCTGAATAGTTGAATAAATAGAAAACAGATCAACATAGGGCCATTCAAAGACAATCTCAAAATAAAAGGATCTGACACATCAGGCATGAAGGAACAGTGTTCGTGAGAAAGATTTACTACAGGAAACAAAAATAAATTTGAGGCAGTGTCTACTCTGTACTCCTGAAAATTTTGAGAAAATAGCTTCCATTTTTCTATGAAAAGATCATGTCAGTTTTTTACCTGTTCTGCTCTGATCTCGAAGTCCACAGGAAATCCTGAGCTCTAAAATTAAAAACCCTGTGGGGTAGGTCAGTATACTCAACTGAGAGCTTGCTGAAAGTAGGCAGAAATGAAAAGAGATACAGATATTTTTTTAAATATACATGTGATTATGATATTGACATCTATACTAGAAAATGTGGTATGGAGGAGAGAGAGGAAAGTCAGCAAGAAGCTGAGGGAACTGGTGAAGAGACAGTGGCAAGCTGTAGCCGATACACGGAAGGTAAGACATGGAAGGACCCCCCTCAGCTGCTGGAGGCAGTGCCACAGCACAGACTTCTATAACTGGTAGGGCTATGTAACATCCTATAATGGGAGTCCTGCCTGGAGAGAGGAATCCTACCAGCACCGTGTGACCTGGGCCTTCAAGTACAGCGATGAGCAGACAGTAAAGAATCACCAGTCATTTGAAGAAAATCAGAATCTTAAATCAGTATCTAATCCCTGTGGAAATATCAATACAGGAATCAGAAGATGATTAGAAGGCTGTCATATCCATTAAAGAATAAACCGGTAAGGAAAGAACAATTATTAGCAACTAAAAACACCATGAAATAAACTTAGTCAAACTGAAGATACAATTAGTTGGAAGATTAAGCCACATGATTCTTCCTGAAACCAGTCAAAGGGGATAGAGATGAAAAGTATGAAACAGTGGAGGAAGTAATCAAAACTTTCTTCAGCTAAAGAAAGATTTGACTTAAATGTTGAATCATCCTTAAAATCCAAAACAAGGGAAGCATGCAGATCAGTGACCTTCCCCAGTGTCAGTAACTCATTGAAAACTTTGTTTTTAATGTAGTAGCAACAAAAACTGGTAAGTACTTGGGAATCCACCTAACGATCAATCCAGGGCTCATGGGTAAAATTAACAAAACTTTACTGAAAAAGATGAAAGGTCTGAATAAAGGGACATGCTGTATTCTAGATGGAAGGCTTCAATCTTATAAAACTATTATTTCTCCCTAGATTAAGACATTCTATACATGATAAGCAAAATCCCAGCAGGATGTTTTCATGAACTCGATAAGGTGGATAGTAAATGCATAAGAAGTGTCAAGAGCAGGGAAGAGGGATTTGCCTTCTGGATATCAAAACCTACTCTAAAGTGCCAATACCGAAAGCAGTATGGTTCCAGTGAATCAGCACATCAGTGGAACATAGTAGGAAGTTTCAAAATTGATGGGCTTCGAGAACATAAGAGTAATTTTAAAGAGGGGAAGGATTTGTTTCTTATGAAATGGAATGAGAGCTACTAGCTGTTGTTCTGAAGGGTTAATTTCATACCACACAGAAAAATAAATTCCAGCCTAATTAAATACCTAGACATAAGAAATACAAAAGAATTCGGAGATAATCCAAGAATATGTTTTATAACATTGAGATAGGAAAGGGCTGCATAAGCAAGACCCTGAATTTAAGGAGGAATTTATTCCTTTGTTCCCCCTCAGAATGGCAAGTTTGGTTTGGTGCAGAATCCAAATGAGCCCCAAGATGAGCTAGCTGGAGAATATTTTCCAAATAGGAAACCTGACTATTGGATTTCATGCATTTATTTTTTTTTTCATGCATTTATTTATTTATCCTTTTTCAATGCTGCCAAAATGCACGAAACCTTAGCTATATATAAAAAATATGACCAGCAAATCTAGTTCCCCTAAGAGGAGTTGATTAAGCCATCGGCATGCAAGATTCTTTGCAGAGTTCGGGAGCAGGCATGCAATTCATGTCATACTTCTCTAAAGGGGAGAGAAGTCGATAGGACAATCCAACTTTAAAATCTGAAAAATTTTCATCTTCAGGAGGAAACCCAAATTCCTTGGTATCCAGTCTCTTCCACCTTCCTTTCCTTCCACAGATTTTCCCTAAATTCCACCACACTGCCCAAGAAAACGGGTGGGACGCACGGCCAACTGGCTGAACCCAGGCATCTCTTTGCCAATGCTTTGGCACCGCCTGGCTGAGCAGCAGGGCTAGGAAGCAGGCATTGAGGTGCCAGGGGTCTGTGCTGACGTTCATTCTGTAGGGTTCTGCATACATGGTTTCTGTACGTGAAGTCATCTGAATGATGTATGTGGTTCACAACTTTTCTCAGTAAGAAAGTGTAGAGGTTGGAGTAAGACTAAGATAAAGAGTAAGAATAAGCACCTCTAAACCTCTTGTTCTTTATTCAAAGTATTGGATTGACAGACCCAGTTCTGCCATTTGTTAATGAGAATTATTTGCATCGGATTCCCACCATGCTGCAAAGTGATTAAAATATAAAGGTGCAAACAAACTCTTGAAACAAGCATAGAATGTTTAGAAAATATCGAGAAAAAGAGTAACTCCACGACCATAAAGAACCATTGTGATTCCTATGTGTTGTTTTCTAATGATTGTCACTAAACATAGTTGATTGTATTTCATATTACTGAAATCGTTTTTGGAATGATAGCTGGGACAAATATTC